ATATATATACATCAACTAATATATATATCAACTAGTATAGAAATTTTTAAAGAGAAAAAAATTTGCACAATAATAGGTTCTAACTAGCTTGAGTAAAACAAGCAAAAATGGAAAATAATAAATTTTCTTGAGAAGGAGAAGAAATTTGCATCCTTGGGCATCGCTGGTGGCAATATGAAAGGGGGGTTCTCTCTGTGGAAAACAGTTTGCAGATTCCTTAGGACAGTAGCAGAGTCACCACGGGTTCCAGAGATTTGGTTTGTGATTTAAAGCTAGGCCTCCAAGGTGTTTTTTGCTCAGAAATGTTTATAGCATTCCACTTATGATTAAAAGTGAAAATATCTCTAGTACTCACTGACAGAGAATGGATAACCACAGTACTGTGCACACATGCAAGAGAACAAGGTTCAGCCTTATGCAGAAGGGAATTCTGACACAGGCTCCAAAATGTTACACCTCAGGGACATTCAGCCAATGAGATACCGTCCACAAAGTGCTGGATGTGTCCTCCAAGAGAAGATTCGCAGAGTAGTCAAATGCATGGACACATAAAATACAGGAGTGGTTCTTGGGGGCTTGGTCAGCAGGGCCTTGGGCAGGTATTGCTTATGAACATGGAGATTCGGTTTGGGATGATTAAAGTTTTATAGTTTGACAATGGTGATGGTTGCAAAATAATATGAGTGTATGTTTTTGTCAAAACAACTTCGTGTGCCACAACAGTTAGGATGGTGCATTTTACATTCTGTGTGTTTTCCACAATTAAAAGTTGGATAGAAGGAGAACTGAATAAGGGGAGAAACTCTATATACCTACAGATACGAAGACTCAATGTTAGCACAACATCAGTTCTCCTGACACAATCCATTACAGTTTCCAAGTGGTCCCATGCACTATTACAATAAGTCGTCTCATGAGAAGCAGAAGACCCGAGATAGGAGCACAGTGTTGGAGCAGCACGAAGTCAGAAGATACCACCCGAACTGAAGACTTCCTACCAACCAGCAAAACTCACAATGATGTAGTATTGGTGGAAAACAGGCTACAGGGTGAAAGGCACAGGACAGAGAGCCAAGAAACTGATTCATACAAGTAGATTCAAATAAGTTTGACAAGGGAACAAAGGTAATACAATAAAGATAATTTAGTCAATACACGGTACTCTATACCCACATGTCAATGGAGAAAAAGTAAATCTGGACACAGAACTTAACTCAAAATGGATCACAGAGCTCAGAGTAAAATACAAAATGATAACATCTCTAGAAGATAACTTAGGAAAAAACTGTAGAACTTGAGCTTGGTTATGGCTTTGTAGATAGGAAAACAATCTATAACTTTAAAAAAATTGTAACTGAAAGTCTCTGCCTTGTGAAAGGCACAGTTACGAAAGTGAAAGCCAAAAACTGTGAGATACTTGCATGAGAAATACCTGGTAAAATTTTATGTAAAATCTTTGAAGAACCTTAAAGCTAAGAAACAGAAACTCATTGCTGGTTGGTACAGTCACGTTGGACACTAGTTTGGATAATTTTTATAAAAGTAAACTGAGACTTACCATTGAGATTCTGCAGTTTTGTTCCTTGTTATTGCTGCAATGTAGTTGAAACTGTTCACACAAAAGTTTATGGAAGATTTATTTGTAGTTTCCTAAGTTGTTCAGCAACCAAGATGTTCTTCATGAGGTGGGTGAGAACACAGCACCTGAGTCAGTAGGATGTGATTCAGGGCCAAGAAGAAATGAGGTCCTAAAGCATGAAAAGACAGGGAGAGAGCTCAAGAGCATACCCCTAAGTAAAAGAACCCTACCCCAAAAGCTTTCTAAAATATGACATTTTAGAGAAGATAAAACTACAAGGATGATATATGACCAGTGGTTTCCAGTGGTTACAGAAAGGGAAAATGAATTAGCAGAGTACAGCGGGTTTTAGGACAGGGAAAATACTCTGCGGAGTGCTACTGAACAGCGGCAGGTACAGATTATACACACTTGTCCAGGCTTGTCAGAGGCGAGGACACTTCCTGCCAAGAGTGAGCCCTTGGATGAGTGATGGATGGGGATCAGGACAGGGCAGCATGGATCATAAACTAACAAACCAAGGCTCCTGGAGGGCTGGCACTGGGAAGGCTGAGGGCTCTTGGCAGGCAGTACATCTTTTCATTTTCTATGCAAACTACTGGCTTTCACTCTAAAACTGCTCTAATTTAATGTTTAAAAGTAAGGAGGTGGTAATGATGTATGGATGTCATGATTGTTATTACAGCTCCTTCCTCACAGTCTCAATGTCATTGTTGAAAACAGAAACCTGCACATGGCTATTGCTGATGGACCAGAAAAAATCAAGGAAGTCTGCAGTATCCGAGTCACAGTCACAGGCCTGGAGATGCCGGGGAGCAGAAGGAGGGAGGGATAACCATGGTCCTGCCCCTCAGACAGTAAGACTGTTTCAGAAATATCTGTATCTGCTATAAATTTACTTTTCTTTTAATCCATTGTGTACAATAAGTATTACAAGTAGACATCTAATGGAAGAGTAAAAGCGATGCATCCCTCTGTCCCCTTTCTTCCAGTCATGATGTTAACCTAAGTGATTTTAAAAATATACCTGTACAGTTTGAAAAGCTTTCTCTTTTTCAGTGAAGCTTCTAAAAAAATGAAAAGATGCCTATTTATGAGTAGTTGAACATATAAAGCACATAGAAAGAATTGAGAACCTTATATAAAAACAGAACACTAAAAGTAAAAGCATAAAATGTCACAAAAATATATTAAAGCAAAAATCAAGAAATATAGAGTTATTTTACACTATTGAATTTGAAAATTATGTATAGGATTGGGGGCTCTGAGCTCTATACCTAGCACTACAAAACAAAAATTGTATATATTTGTCTGTATCTATAAACACACACACACACACACACACACACACATACACATATATATGTGTAATTTATTTTCTTTTATGAATTTTTTAAAATTTAATTTATTGGTACATTCTAGGTAAACAGTACAGTTATATTCATTACTGGGATCTTGTACCTTTACATGCCAGGTCTTGGTTTTCATTTTTTCCCCTTGTCCCCACCCTCCCTTCACCACTTCCTCCCCTCCCCACCTATAAACACTTTAATTCCATTTTTACATTTTCTCACATTTTTTCCCCTTCCCTTATTTCTTTCCCCCTACCCTTCCCACTGTCCCTACACCTTTAGCTCTTTTCTTCCTATTTCACATTGCTAATTATCCCATTAGGATCTTGAGTACTATTTTAGTTTTTCATACCAGAGAAACTATTCGGTATTTACACATGTGTGACTTATTTATTTCACTTAGGAGTAAGTATATCCCCAAAATGTATCCATTTTCCTATGAATGAATCTACTTTCTCATTATTTATGGCTGAGTAGTATTCCATTTTATAGAAAAACCAGTTTCCAACTGATGGGCAAATGGGCTGTTTCCAAGTTTTAGCTATTACAAACTGTGCCACTATAAACATGGGTGTGCATATATCAATGTGGTATGATTCTTTTAATTCTTTTGGAAAGATACCCAACAGAGGGATGCCCCCACCCAAATATAAAGACCCAATTCAAAAATGGGCATCTGAAATGAACAGACATTTCTCAGACAACGAAGTAAAAGCAGCAAGTAAATATATGAAAAAATGTTCCATTTTCATATGTTGGTGCTGTTTATTACAAAAACAATAGGGGAAATTTTGTTAATATCCATCCAATATTATTAAGTAACTCAATTTCTGGGATTCCATTCTATTTTATTCTACTCTATGAGTATGATCTATAATACATAAAATGATAATATTCTGTATGGAAAGTACTGGAAAGTAATTTACCCTGCATAATCAATTATGCAAATTATTACATATTAAAACATCAGGAACATATACAATCACAAATAGTTATTTAGATTGCTTTTTAAAAGATGGCTTATTACCACTGTGTTGCTGCAGAACCCATGAGCACATTGCATGCTGGGAGAGGTGTGTGTGCATCCCGGTTCGAGTGGCAGGCTCTGTCCACAGCAGGGTTCCCTGCTCAGTGTCTGGAGGTGCTGACAGTGAGGTCACTGCACTCTGTCACCAAGGCTTCTGGCATTGGGTCCTGTGTCCCCAGGGTTTCTCTTTGTGCCTGTGCCAGGAGGCCCTGATTCTCACTGGGTATTGGCTGGAGATTGGACTCCTTCAGTGGGGACTCCCCATGGGGAGTTCACAGCACAGCCTCCTGTTTGATAGCTCAAGATCAGCAAGACTGTCCCTGTTTATCCTGCAGGCAGAATTTATATTTTAATTTATATTTTATTTTTGTTTTCTGAAAAGTGATGGTGGTGTGTTTTTCACCTTTGCCATGCACTAGTGCATGAGAAGCCACAGGCCCTGCCCCAGGCAAGGGAAGGGATGGGGAGGACACATCCCTGGAGGTGACCTTAGAGAGTGTGGCAGTGTCCTCCATGCACTGCAAGGACGAATGCAAAAAGCAAAATATAACCAGCATATCTAGAATGATAGAAAGAATGAACAAGTGTTCACAAAATAGCTAAATCAACCAGCAGCTTTTCTGACATGACATATAATTTTTGAGTTAATAATTTCTTAAAGCAGAAAAAAAGCAAATTAAAGAAGCCCAGAGGTAAATGTTAGCTACAACGAACATGTCAGGTGCTCCACTTGCTGTTAAATATGCCCAGGAAGCCTCATGGGTTATGCTTCTTGAACTCCTCCACAGACCCCGGATCTGAGTTAGGGTTTAGCATCATAAGGCAGTTTTCGATTATCAGGTTTTACAGGTGGATTCTGAGAGAATTTAATGTTACAAACATTCACATTTTGGGTCCAAACTTTTCTGATTACCTTTTAAATTTGATTTACTATAACTAAGGAATTCGAATCTCAAATCAAATAAATAGTTTCTAGATACTTGAAAAGTAGGGTCTACAGATACATAAAATTTTTCTTGAAAACTATCAAGTGTCATACTAGATATGAATGTGAAAGGGTTTATACAAGTTTTGGGAAAAAAAGCAAACTGAAGGGTCATAAGGCAATGCACTTAGTTGGGCTTCATCCAGAAGGATTTGGTGGAAAAAATACTATAGTTAGGATGAATACAAATGAATTCAAGAAAAACAAAAACAAAAAAAAAACAGAAGAAAATGGCTATGTAAATTACTTCTGGTACAAGAACATATTGTTTTAGCTGGAATAATTTCAGTGTTTTAAAATTAGTAGTCTTCTCTCTTGTAATCTTTGGAACTGAACATTGAAACCTGAGCTGAATAAAGGATAGATATGTCCTTGAAGAAATAAGAGGAAGCAACATTAAAATATAAGCTCTCAAGGACCTCTTTCTTCTCTGGTTGTCCCCAACGCAGTGCAGGTCCTGGCCCTGATGTACCACACACACCTCTGTGAGACTGTGGCCTTCTGCACTTGCACCACTGGCTGCAGCTCACTCACTGCTTCTCACCTGTTCACTGCGCAGCTTCCCCTTCACCAAGAATCAGCGCTGCTTCCAGGAGTGTCGATGTGCCCCTCCTGTTGGGGAAGAAATGATTCCGATACCCTCTCTGCCTCCTGACACGACCAGCAAAACTAGCCGTCAACAGCTGCAATGTTGGATACTTTTCTGAGACAAAGCACCAAGTGATGCCCTTCCTGCTCATGATTTGGGTACCTTCGCAGCACCCGGGAGATAACCATGATTCCAGCGCGGGTAGAGGACACGTGGGCAAAAGAGTCTGTAAAGTCAAATGAGCATGTGCAGGATGCAACCTGAAGATCGGTCACATGTTAGATAAGCTTCTTGACGGGATTACTGAAGTTTATATATGGGAGATATTAATTATATTCTTTATAGTGTCCTTTAATATAGGTCAAAGGAGCAATGCCAAATTAAATTTCAACAGCATATTCGAGGAACAACTAAATTATTGTCCCAAGAAATAATTATTCAACCATGTAGACTTAATTTAAGGATGAAATGTAGAACTTGAGAAAATGTTGTAGTATACATTATTAGAAAGAAGACTAAAAATAATTTTTCTGAAATCACTATTAACAGCAATTAATGAATATGTAAGTAGTTTAATGTTTTCTCTAAAGAAACTGCTTCAGTTTAAAGAAAGTGATTATATGCACTTTATTTAATTAACAATAGGGTTTTATAGCAGACATAAAATTTAGGATATATGAATAGACATGTTCTAAACAGATAGCCATCTTACTTTCTATAACATGAAGGCATAAAAGAAAAAAATGCTATTTTATTTTAAGGAAAGAGTCCTAGATGGTCTTTCACAATTCAAAAAAAGAAAAAAATCATAATTGAAATGCATTACTGAATTTTCAACATTAACATGGATAACTTTTTACTCAATTCAATGCTGCAGTGAAATCTCTGGGCGTAGTTGCTACCACACATGAGTAATTTCCTTTTCTAGTGAACCACAAGATAAATTGTGAGATACAGTTAGCCCCAGGTGACTTACAGCCTTTATATGTTTTATGGGCTCATTGGAAAAAAGCCAATTAAATATTGGATGACATCTGCCAAAAACAGTATTATATTTTAAACATATTTGACACTGTGTCACCCTTCCTGCAGTTAATAAGGTTGCAGAGCTAATGGTCCATTGAGCCCACTCTTACAATGTAAAAGTTAAACCTTCATACGTAATATTGAAGCAAAGCCATGTTTGTTCTACTAATAGCAGAAAGGAGTACTTTAAATTTATTTTGACCTGGCTTTGTTAGTAAGGTAGGCTTGAACCATGAAAACATGAAAAAGTCATAAGGTAGCGTCCAATAGTTTATGCTACAAACATTGGCTTATATATGACCCTCCTCATAAACTGCTTTTAAAATTAAGAAACAAATCCTTTATCAAAATAAAGTAGGGGGCCATGTAGAACTTCTGCAGGCTACCTTTTATTGATTTGTTCGTGAGAGTTCAAGTTCTGATGGTAAACATCCCCTCTGATGGTACAGACTCTCACAAAGAGACAGCAAGTACGAAGGTGGCCTGTCACGGCAGCACCTGTCCAGACCTGCCACCCCATGTGATACTCAGGACCTCCCCCAGCAGCCATACGTCCACACTTTGGAGGGCGAAGCTTGGAGACATTGTGATTTGAGTAAAAGAATAGGTGCTCACCGGGGTGTAAAGTTTCCATGTGAAAAGTGACGAGGTGGAGTTATGTGTCCAGCAGCTGTGACAGTGCCTGTGAGTAGACTTCACCCCTAAGGGACTAAAGGACTGAGGTAAGGGTGTCAAAAGAGAGTTCCACAGGGGGAGAAGGCATTTGTCAACTATTTTATTTTATTATTTTATTGATTGATTGATTGATTGGTGAATATTAGAAAACATTTATTTTGGATGAAGTGCCTTTCATTTCATTTCATTTCATTATCTGCATGTTGATAGTTTTTTGATACAATGCCAAGAACATAAGTGAAGAAATAAATGACATATTGGGTTTAATAAATATTAAAATCTTCAGGTCTTTAAGGACATTGGTAACATGATTCGAGATGAGACTTGGCCAATTTATCTTTAGAATACAACTTTGATTAAGGCTTTGTATCCAAAATAAATAACCACTGAACAAGTAAATAATCTCCTAATTAAATGTTGAGCAAATAATCTGTACTGATACCTCACCAAAGACCATGTATAAATGGCTAATGAGCACACAAGAATATACTCAGTGTCAACTGTTAGAGTTTTCAGATTGAATAGGGATGAGATTGCATCTCATACACATAAGGGTGGCCAGCACTGAAAGGTGCACCTTCTCAGTTGTCTGTGAGTGTTCGGAGCAGAAGGAAAGATCCATGTAGAGGGGATCACAGAAGAGTGGTGAACTGGAGAGGCAGCTGAGCAGTGCTCTCTGCAGTCATAAGGGTGTCATTCTCTCAGCTCAGTTGAAAACACATCTCCTTGTAAAAACCTGCATGTGAGAGTTTATAGCAAGTTTAACTATAATTGCCAAAAATTGGAACAGCAAAATGTTCTTCCATAGATAATGGATAAATAAACTGCGATACATTCACACCACAGAGCGCTGTTCTGTGACTGCGGCAATGAAAAGACATTAAAGAATGTTAACTGCAGGTTCTGAACGAAAGAGCCTGGGCTGAAAGGCTAAATACTGCAAGGCTTCAATTATGGGGTGTTTGGGAAAGAGCAAGACGGTGGAAGCGGTAGAGTCAGTGGTTGTGAGGGCTTGGGCTGGAGACGAGGCATTTGTGGAGCCCGGTGACTGCTGGGCAAGGAGCTAATCATGCAGCAGGATGCTAATGATGGATTCAGACTGCATTCTCAAAGCCTGTGTGATTTACAGCTCAGAAATGAGTCTTCACGTGGGCTAGTTTTCTTTTAAATTAAAAGTCTTGGAAAGCAAGTATGAAGTGCCGAATGTAGAAAGACAATATAAATATGTTACAAGTCTATAAAATAAAATCACTGAAGGAAGCTGGATAAAATGTTACTTTAGAGGACAGTAGACCCTGTACAGCTTGTAACAGCCCCGAACTCTAGTCTGCCTCCCCTAGGGGTATGAGTGCATAATCTGATACCGTTATACTGATATACCAGAGCTAAAAAGACTAAGTAAATGAGTGGCTGATGGCAGGATCCAGGACATTAGTGTATTCTACTGAAAAACGGGAAGTTCAAAATACCATAAGCAAGATAGAAAGCTATGATAATGGATATGTCAATAGATTAGGATTTCAGCAGTCAGTTTAATTCATGTGTAGTTCAGTATAGATAAAGACAGCTATATAGAGAAATATTTATAGATGTACACAGAACTGAGCTTGCAGGCATATGCACACACACACACACACACACACACACACACATCCCCCTGCTCTGTGGCCAAGAGGGCCTCAGGAAAAGTAATGCCCACTATCAGTGAACACTTAATACACACACCTGGACTTCTAGAACCATTTTCCAAAAATCACAAGCAGATCTCATGGGAGAATTGGCTGAATCTAGACCTGGGGCAGGAAATGCACAAGATGAGCCTGGGTATCTTGTAGTGACTGAAAGCAAGACAGTGTTCCAGATCCTGAAGAGAACAAAACAAAGTCAAGAGAAAGACAGGGGTGCAACAAGGGACACAGAAGCCAAGGGAATGACATACAATGACTCCATACAAGAGACCAGTTAGGAACAATTTAAGCAACATGAAAAAGTAGCCCTTGAATTATAGCGTAAAAGAAGTAGCTATGAATATCTATGAATAGATGGTATCAATCACTAAGTGAGAGAGAAGAGACATGCTTCCTGTGAAGAATTCCTGAATTGCTGGTGTGTTTCTGCACTCCTACAGGTGGCGCCTCATCCCTCAGTCTTCTGCAGTTACATCATCCAAAGAGCTCAGTGACCAGGAAGCACTGACAGTAATGCCATTTGTCACGTACATACCCTCGGGGGGGGGGGGTCACAGATGTACCTCGGTGTTTCTCTGTTCTCCCCAGAATGTGCAGCCCCATGTACTGCTTGGAAAATATATGTGTAAAGCTTGGTTGACTTCACCTGTATCTTTTCCCAGCATGCTAGAAATAGACAACACCCTTGAAGATGCTTCATGCCTGAACTAAAGCACCAGGAGGTGCAATGTGACATTAGCAGGGGATAAACAGACACACTAGCTTGCACAGTCACTTTTACTCTTTACAAAGCCTTGTCTTTTGGACTCCAGTTGCAGGGATTCACCAGGTCTTTCTGCTGCCCAAGACCAAGTTTCCGTTAGTAATTTTCTGATTAGGAAAAATGGGTACACTCCTGGGTCTGTCTACCTCTATTGTTGGGGTAGTGGCACCTGATGGCTGGTTCTCATATTCAACCAAGCTTTCCCACCTCACAGTTCTTAGAGAAGCATCCTCAAGTGCATGGGGATAGCCCCTTCTCTTTCCCTGGTCTTCCTCCCTGGTCTCTGCCTTCCCTTTTTGGCCTTAGACTAGTCTGTGGTCTGTATGTATGCTGTCTACAGAGGATCAAATACCAACCTTTCAAAACTTTCCTGTAGAGGGAGTGCTACCACCCTGAATAGGAATAATCTTAGGTGTCAGACACATCACCAACCTGGTCTACAAGGAGAACTGACTATGTTTTGAGTTAGTATTGTCTCTCACTTCCATCAACACACATTTTGATCCAGGTTGACGTTAGGCAGTCAGTTGTCTCACTGGAATAAGGAATGGAAGGTTCACCATTGCTTTTTATTCCCACTTACATATTAAATTTTACTGTTCACACACAATATGATGTAAGCACTTGGAAGTTCATCAGTTAGGAGGCAGGCAGGGGGAGGAACACTTCTAAATTCTTGGTGGGAATGGAAATTAGAACACCCTCTGTGGAAAACAGCATGGGAATCTTCCAAAAATTAAAAGCAGAATCTCCCCAAAAGTCCATCAATGAGTGGATGGTTAAAGAAACTTTGCTATGTACACTGTGGAGTATTATTGGGCCTTAAAGAGAAAA